TTTGTTTTCCGCAGTTTTTATATTTGGCTTTATTTTGGGATTTATCATTATTAATGATTTGATTATGAATCATTATATCTGTTAATTAAACTTGGGTTTGTGTCGGCTGGCTTTGTCTTCACGAGAGGCGCCATCACGACCGGGCCTGGGTTTAGGGTCGTGACAGTTTATTAAGAACAAGTCAGCTGCAATTTATTTGTAGCAGATTTGTGCTACAGTTGTTTTACCTTTTGTTTTGTTATTTTATCCAGAATTCTACTACTTAGAATAGAAATATGTGTGACTTTTTTTTTTGGGTGAATGTTTTTAGTCCTTGATCTCGATATTAGTACTATATATTTTCATTATAGCTTAACTACAATTATGTCTATAACTACTATACAAAACTTCAAAATATATTCAATTTAAATAGTGTTGTTAGGAAAGGCTGAAAAGTAATAAGTAAACACAGTATTTGAACAAAACAACTACACACCAATTGCATTAAGACTTGAAATCTGTTTATCAAATATTCATTATAGGAGACAATCTTTATTCAAATTAGCAATACAATTACACCACAACTATAATTCTCCAGAACGGAACAAATACAACTTCATATGTCTTAAAGGACAGATTATCATTAGCAGTACTCAATAAAAAAAATCTTTAAATTGCATCAATTTTTATTTCCTTTTGGGAGCATTCCTACAAGATCTTTTGTTATGCCCTTCTAGTCCGCAGTTGCCACATCAAACCTTGTACTTCTTTGCATTTACTTCATCATATAGTTTGTATCGTTGTTTTTGAGGTCTCTCTGACTGTCTTTTCCCAGTAGGTGACATTACAACTTCTTCAGCTATATGTTGTGGCACATTCCATTTGCTTTCATCAGGCAGCGGGTCTACTGGTATTTCATAAGTCTGCAAAAGACTCTCTCTCATGTAATAAGGAGAACAATGGTTTTCATAAGACTCGTTACTGTGCCTTGAAGCCGCCAAAGCATGTGGACAAGGAAGTTCATTAAGTTGGAATTGTCCACAACTACATCTCTTATTTTGAAGGCAAACAATGAAGACCTTCACACCATCTATCACAGTAGGGATGTAATCTGTTGAAGCCGCCACCTACAATTTCATTACAAACACACAACAAGTTGTCAGCAACAAATACAAAACAAAATAACTACAATTATACAACAACATTTCTACAATTATCAGTATATATTAAGTTTGATGGAATCAATGATCTAATGATATTGGCTATAACTTACTCTCATCTTCTGCGATAATGTCCTATTGACCTCCAACTCTTTGTTGTATGTTTTCCCAAGGTATGTGAACGTTCCCTTTGCATTCAATAACTTTTCATTAGTCCAATATTCAAGAAGAGTCCTCATGTACTCTAATAGTTCTACTACGGGCAGCTCTCTTGCATCTTTGGTTACCGTATTCAATGACTCTGCAATTTTGATGTCATTGTCTATGTTCTGTTCACCATAGCATGTACCCGAGACCATCTGTGATAGCCAATATCGTGTGGCGATCTCTTCAATCTTTGACATTCTTTCATTAAATTCATCAAGCGTGTATTATTGTGTCGTGGCAAAGTACAATTCTCTTAACTGTAGATGACCCGTCTTGAATGACGTTACATTTGTCCAAATATGCCACATGCATGCATAATGTAGCATGCCGGTATAAACAGTAGATGTTGCCTTCAAGATACTCTCATTCCGATCTGAAACAACACACATACTTGGTTTTTCACATATCCATATTTCAAGCTGTTGAATTTTCGAACCTTGAACAATGCTGATTCATTTATGCTGGTGGACTTGAAGTGCCACGTACAATTGTCCCCAACACATACGAGGCAGTAGCTACAGAATAAAAATAATTCAAAAAATGTTATGCAAATTGTAGCTACAGAATACGAGGTAATTTTTGCACAACAACTTGTCTTAAACAATTTATATACAAAAAAAATTACCACTTATACACAATATAAATTTGACAAATAAAATGTTCATACCTTCTTGCACTAGACCTTTTCACCATAAATTAAAACTTATTCATGACAAAATAGTTCTTCATTGCACTGACAATTATTTGCTTGTCTTGGTAAACTTGACCTACTTCAATAACATTTGGCATATGTACTGTTATGATGATACTTTCATATTCCACAATTTGCCGGAGATGTTGGCATATCAATCAACTTCATTGTTCCTGATACTTCTCCAATTGTGTTACAATTGCTTGACAATTGTCACGTTAGACATACGATAATCAGATGAACCTGCACTCAGTTAAAAGTATAGTAATTCAGAACTCTGTATATTCATGTGTTCAGTATTTGACATAATACTTGTGGAATAATAACAGTTGAACTACATTTGTTATGTAGTATTATTATAGATAATTTGTAGTAAAATTGTAAAACACTTGAAATTGAAAAAATATCAGCACTGAATAAATAGAGCAAACCTGCAATTGTGCTCGAATTCGAGATACTGCATTCCAAATCCAAATGACGCACTGTTATATACAACGGATACATTCTTAAGTTTTGTTTTCCTTTTTTGTCTCCATATACACTCGAACCCCCATACCGTTCTGAATTTCCATTGGAGGCCAACGTTCTTTGACAGTGTATTTGATTTCGATGATTTTTGCCGAGGTATCGATCATTAGATGCTCTGCAACCGCGGAATTCAATTGACGATAATTTGAATCTTCATTGACTACAATTCCATCAACATCAAAATCTTTCTATCTCCCAATGCTATCCCACCGACCATTTAGTTGAAGCGTAATCGCTAATTTTGACATTATATCGCGAAATTCAATGCAATTGTTTTTTTCAAAACTTTCGTTTATGGAAAACCAAAGGAAACCAGAGAAACCCAGAGAATAGAACTTGATTATGGTGCGATGATAATAAGAGAAAATCGGCGTAATAGCAGGATTCTACAAATACGTTGGCTTGATTAAGGTGCGTTGATTGCGTCAGTAAAATCTCTAATTGAAATATAAGCGATCTCAAAATCCTGCGTCTAAATAAGGAAGACTACCGCAGAAAGGAGTCTAGTTTAAACAAATGTATATTTTTTGTAGCTAAAACTTGTTTACGTTGGGTAAATACCGAAACGTGGATATTTTTGGTAATAAAGTTTCAAATAGTGTATAGGAACGAAAAAATCTCTAAAGTGAACATGGTGAATGCACTTTCCCGAGTGCTTTTTACCCTAAGGTAAGGGCGTTGAGATTTACTACTCGAAAATAGTACAATTCCCCAGGGTGTGTTTGGTATGTAGGAAAATATTTTTTCAATTTTTTCATATTTGATTGGCTTAATATTTTCCTCATGAAATCATTTTCCTCCAATCTCAAAATATTTTCCCTATCAAGAGAAGAGAAAATATTTTTCAAAACTCTTTTTCAACATTCCCCGTCCTATTCCCAACCCCCACCACTCCTCCATCCCACCCACCCAACCCCCAAAACCACCCCTCTACTCTCTAACCAAATATTAGAAAATATTTTTCGATTTTTTTTTTTTACTCACTAACCAAACATTAAAAAATTAAGTGATAAAATCACTTATTTTCTAGGAAAATATTTTCCTTCATACAAAACACATACCAAGTGTACAATCGATCGGGTCCTTCGGAGTCCTTCTTTATTCATATAAATTCAGTAGATGCATTATGAATTACGAAATATGCACATGATGTATGCACCTTTTTCAACAAACTTCATCCTAAAATTAGCGTACGATGAGACTACGCTTAATTAGCTGGAAATAATAATACAATATCAACGTTTACAAGTATTGGGGTGTCCTTGTTTATATAAATAATACAGGAGAACACATGGTTGACCAGTAGACCATGATTGGTGATAGCTGTTGAGCCTTCCTCAGGGTTGTTAGGATCGAAAATAACAAGGCGTTATGCGAAAAATAGCAAAGCAAACTTAAGTGACGATAAATTAGATAACAAAAAAAATTATACCAAAAAGGCATAATATTTTAATATGATTTGGTCAAAATAAAATATAAAAAAATTATCGAAAGAAAAAATTCTCTCCCTAAATAAAACTTCTTAATGACTATATTATGAATTCTATTCTGCTCTTGTGCACGAAGGAGAGCTTTTCAATTTATAGAGGTCACAAACTTTTACTACAAGTAAGGGATTTGTTAAATATGGAAAATATCTATACTTTGTAAAAGTAAAAGTAAAAATCAATTATGGTAAATTCTTTTCCCTTCTTTCAGAAAAAGATAGTAAAAAAATTAGGGCAAACCCAAACAAGGGTTTCAGTTTAAAAAATTAGCCTTTTGCTCCTTTAAATGTATGAACGTGTATTCTTAATTCTCTCCATTCCTTTTGTGATCTTTTCCCCAAGTAAATGAAAGTGTATTGTTAATTCTGCTTCTGGACACTTTAATTTTTTCATGCCTAGGCATCTTCACTAGATATCCCGTTATTGATCTCTTACCAAAACTTTTGACCAAAAACCATAAATGTCGCGTCAAAATTTTTGGTAAACACATGGTGCGGATAAGTTTTTTGACCCCATATGGTTTCGTGGCAATTATGTTTGTTAAGACATCTTATATGTATTTATTGGATTGATGTAAACACTCGATTTGGGCTGGGTAAGTTTTTAACCCCATATACTATCATTTAATAAATATGTAACTTTCTCATATATTTATTCTTGGTTTGAATATACAGATAGGTTCTCAACTAATGAAAGCCAGCTGGTAAAACTTATGAATATATAATATAACAACTAAGTTGAATCTTGCTAACTACTATAATCTTGTCATAGGTTAGCAAAACCTTTTACTAGAAATATTCAAATAAAACTTTATAAAATATTGAATGTTCACACGTTCCTTTAACAAGTATGCACATGTCTTTTCTTGTTCTCTCCTACTGACTGTTTATCATCTATTAAAACTCCTATCCTTCACCATGCCAGTCACCTTTCACACTCCACCCCATATCTTCTATCTTATAAATTTACGTATAGCACACATATATAGTGATGTAATACTAGCTTTCGTTCCTCGTACCTAGTCCAGCCTCAGAACCCTTCGCGGGTTGGTAAGAAGTCAGTCTTGTTTGATAAGACGGAATTAGACAAAGAAAAGAGAATACTCGACCGGATTTGAAAAATGGGTAAAGATCAATTGCCTATCTTGTTGATGGTGTTGGTACAATTAGGTTATGCTGGCACTGCTATCATATCAAAGCTTGTTATGAATGAAGGCATGGATCCTTATGTTCACTTGTCTTATCGCCAAATTTTTGCCACCATTTCTATTGCACCCTTCGCTTACTTTTTCGAGAGGTAAACATTATGCAAAAATATGTTTCTATTCACTTGATTTCTGCAGATTTTATTTATTTATCGGAAAAGGCCTAAAAATGTCACTCAACTTTCAGAAATGGTTTATCCATGCCATCCGTTAAAAAATTGCTATTTCCATGCTACTGCCGTTAAAGAAATGGCCCATCCATGCCATTATTGACTAACGGTTCAATTTTTATTTGGCCCATCCATGCCACTGCCGTTAGTCAATAATGGCTTGGTGGGTCATTTCTTTAACGGCAGTGGCATGAAATGAGCATTTTTTTAACAGATGGCATGGATAGACCATTTCTGAAAGTTGAGTGGCATTTTTAGGCCTTTTCCGTTTATTTATCGGAATAAAATAAGTTTTTTTGTTTTGTTTTGTTTAAATAACTATTTTTCTTTTTGTTAATATATGATCTCTCAATTTATTAGTACTCAAGAACTCAGAATACAGTTTCACATTTTTCTTATTGCTTCATACCTTCTTCACTCTAGACATGTAAATTTGAACTTTAGTCTTCCCTCTACATTTAAAATTGCTTATCGGTGTTTCATAAGAATTACATCTCGATCCAATATTATTTGGCATATTTTTTACTTCAAGATTCAATAAAATAACTTTGTTAAAAAAATATGCTTTTTTGTCTTGAAATGGAATGAAGATTGGAACTTGCTAGCATATTTCTATATAATTTACAAAATCATAAAATGTAGTTGAGAATCAATCCAATTTTAATTTACTCTAAAACTAATTAATTGAAGCTCGAAATGGATTATAGAATGATAACTTATAACGCTTGTAGTTATCTTTAGTTAAGTAAATGTTATTCTAAAAAATGAAAACATCCGATACTCGAATTCACATCACAATTTAAATAAATTAATTCTAGGACTTGAGATGCGGGCTTTCTCCCGATCGTATGTGAACGCGAAATGCTTTATACACCAGACTGTTTTTTGTAATTTAAATTTTGGAACTTCAAATTAATTAAGACAGAGAAAATAGTCAAAATACAGCCTCACTAATACAACGCGCAATGCACACAAACACATGCAAGAAGTACAATGATATAGCTTGGATAAGACGATTGGTACCTTAAAAAAAGGAAATTTTTGCAAATTATTAGTATCACATGGTACTGTCAAGCAAGTTTTTCAGACTTGGGTGCTTTTTGTATAACGAAAATCATTTTTTAAGAAAAATATTTCTTGGAAAAGTCATTCTTTAGTGTTTAGTTACAAGAAATAATATTGAAAATATTTATTAAAAGTAGGAAAATGACGTCTCACTTATGGACGAAAAATATAATTTTTACAACTATCTTAATTTTTAACTTTCATGTTACTTATGCCAACTAATACTTCAAAACTAGTCATATCTTTATTAGTGCTCAAAATCTAATAAAAGTGTTCTCTAATTTGCTACTATCATTATTAATTTTTTAATATATTTCTTTGCGAAACTCACCAATCAAAACATATTTTCCATCACACTAAACACACACTATTAGATGTTTATCCTTTTCTTCCTTCCATTTTTTGTACAAATATTCAATGTTAGACTAATGGTTGTGTCCCACCACAGGAAAACAAGACCGAAGTTGACACCGTTTACAATTTTTCTAATTTTCTTGTGTTCTATTTTCGGGTAAGTTCCACCCTATTTTCTTTTATTTCACATGGTTAATATTTTTTAATCAAATTACAGTAAAGAAAAACTCTATATAAATTTCTATATGCAATACTTGCAGGGTAACAGCAATGCAATTGACTTTACTTATCGGATTAAAGAATTCCACTGCAACTATTGCAACAGCCATGTCTAACTTAGTCCCAGCAAATACATTCCTTCTAGCCGTCCTTTGCGGGTAATATTTTTGATTTTATATTTTTATGCACTGCGAATATAAAAATAGTTAAAAGTACAATAATAACTACGTCTTAATCATAAAAAAAGTTGTGGTTGGCTCGATAAATCCTCGCTTGTGTATTATGAGGTTCATCATGAATTGACAAATTTTACGTTGGCTGTCAATCTACCATAACTGTATTCCTGTATTTGGGTTTTAGATGGACGATGTGAGCAACTCACACAGGATAAGTGATATTCTAATATATAACATGTCAAAGTTACATTGATGTTGCGGAATTCTTTTTTTTTATTTATTTTTTTGTACGATAAATGTATATAACTTAAATTCATTCTTTCTTATCCTTTGAGCAAATATGTAAATTTATCAAAATATATATGTCTAATTTAGAAGGCTTTATTTTTATATATATGAAGGCTTGAAAAAGTAGGGGTGAGAAGTAAAGCAGGGCAAGCCAAAGTGTTAGGGACAATAATATGCATTGGTGGAGCTATGTTGCTATCATTATATCAAGGGAAAGTGGTAATTGGCAAATTGGGTATTCACTGGAAATATTCAGAAATTACAACCAAAAATAATGAAGCTAACAGCCATGGCGATTTCTTCACTGGGCCATTTCTAGTCATAATCAGCACTATCGTTTATTCTATATGGTTAATCATACAAGTAATATTACCATTTCAATCTTTCTCTCCTAATAAAGTTTTCATTCCTATTTTCGTTCAGAATTTCAGTTATATGCACCGTCAGCATAAAATTCTTTTTATTTTATTTTATACTATCAAGTTATCCAAATGATTTCTATAGTAAAAAGTGAGATTTCTAATCTTTAAAATTATATTAGATAGTTACCTACTACAATCGGTATAAGTAATATACAAATTCTTTACATTGACGGTGTATGTAACTTAAACTCATTAAAATAATTTTCTAATATCAGCCCCTTTATTTATTTTTATTGATTTTGTATTAACCGAGAGTGAATGAGAGATATGCAGCTCCATATTCAAGCACAACTTTGATGTTCTTAATGGCAAGCTTGGAATGTGTAATTATTGCCATATGTGTTAATCATGATAATTCTGCTTGGTCTTTGAACCCCATCAGAGCTATTTCAGTTCTTTACAATGTAAGTACATATAAGTTTTCACTTTTTTATATTCATAACATTTCAAGAAAAGAAAAAATAAAAGATTTTATGCAGCTGAAAGTCTAGAATGATCTTAGCCATGTTGGTACTATTAACATGTTTAGGTCTAATAGAATTCTCATACTTAGCATGATTCCGTTATAGTTCATGAGCTAAAAAACTAACATAGTCTATATATATCTTGGTAAAAGAATACATGTAATATCACAGAAAATTTTCTTTTTATGAATTGGTCATAATATTCATTACTGTGCTTTTTCTTGATACCCATCTTAGTGATAAACAGAGGGTCTCGCTGTGACCTTCTCTTAAATTCTAAAAAAATAAAACGGGCAGCTCGATGCCCTTTATAAGCTTCTGTTATGCGTGGTATCCAGGGAAAGGCACCGGACTACAAAAGTCAATTGTACGCAGCCTTATTCTGTATTTGTTAGTAATCTGTATTTGTAAACTAATTCTGAAAAAAACAAAGCAGAATAATGTATAAACAAAAAACGTAAAGAGAGAGAAATCAATTCGAGCCCACTGAATTCACAGTGTTTCCTTAAGGAATTTAATTCCCTCCTAGTACCCAAGGTTATGGATTATTTCCTCCCAGGATAGAATGAATTACACACTGGTATAGTGGTACTTCAAACCCCAGTGTTTCAGTGAACACAAAGTTCGGTAGCAAATCACACTTACTGTTGCTTTGTTTGATGTTAAAAATATGCAGAAGAAGGAGGAGAAACTCAGAAAATCGTATGAAAATTCTGAGCAGAATAGTCTTGTATTTATAGTCAATGTTGGGTTGAAATCTGAAGAGGTGCAACTCTTCAGAATGGATGTTTATGCAAAACGGCCACAGTATAAATGCCATAACATAAATGGCTATTTACTCAACAATAAAGAGGAAAATAAAGAGGAAAAATTGAAGGGTAGTTAATTTTCTGTTACAAAAACAGAAAACTGAAATTTGGATAACTGAATTGGATTTAATATTAATATTCTGTTTTTTCTATTAACAAATAAATTTGGTCCAAAAATTAATCAATCGATCGACCGAATCCGAAGCCGAAGCCGAAGCCGAAGCCGAGCCGAGCCGAGCGAGCGAGCGACGACGACGACGGCGCGAGGCTTGCCTTCTTCTCAACTCTTTATGAGCTAGAAGAAGAGCAATTGCTTATATACCCATCAAAAACCTTTTCCTCTTCCAATATGGGACAATGTCCCTTTGCCAAGGGGGAAAACTTAAAATTTCACTCAAAAATTCATTTCCCTCCATTTCCCATTCACCCTCTTTTAAGTATTTAATATAATTAAATACATAAAACCCAACAATCCCCCACATGAATGGGGAATGGCTATATCACGGAAACATGCATGAAAAACTGTGTGATGCGCAAGCAAGGATTAATTGCATCTGGATAAGTAGGTTTCCCTTTGAACTTTCCGTAGTGAACTTATGTCGGATATACTCGATCAATCGGTAGATTAGATATCTTTGAACCGTCGAACTTTAGTGTATACCTAGACAACCACAAGTCACACAACCAACCCTTAACCATCTTTGGTTCTCATTGTTGTGTTCGTTTCAGCCGGAACACCGCCTGGTTTCATAAGTGCGTAGAGAACTGGCCTTCCAAAGTTCTCCTTGAAGCGGCTAACACTTCACACTTACATAGGTGATTCCTAAACGTGTCATCCCGTAGATACACTATTTGATATACCCTTATCAAATTTAGAAATCATTAAAAAGCCTTAATGCTTTATCCTTGGTACTGAACATTATCTCATCACGAGAATGGACCAAAAGTTTAGTTGACAATGTTGAACCGTCATTAATGACTTTGTTTGATCTCCTTGTACCTAGATCTTGGGATCTCCAGTCTTCTAGGTAGAGTTACCGCCACTATGACTTGTTCTCGGCCATCGTCCCATTCCCCTTGATGATATCTCAACTACCTCTCTAGTTAGGCCTTTTGTAAGTGGATCCGACACATTATCACTTGACTTTACATAATCAATCGTGATAATTCCTCTAGAGAGTAATTGCCTAACGGTTTTATATCTTCGTCGTATATGACGAGATTTACCGTTATACATAATGCTCCCAGCCCTTCCAATTGCCTCTTGACTATCGCAATGTATGCATATTGGTGCCAACGGTTTGGGCCAAAATGGAATATCTTTCAAGAAATTCCGGAGCCATTCAGCTTCTTCACCGGCTTTATCTAAAGCTATGAATTCAGCCTCCATTGTAGAGCGGGCAATACAAGTTTGTTTGGACGACTTCCAAGATACCGCTCCTCCACCAATAGTGAATACATATCCACTTGTGGACTTGGAATCAGTTGATCCAGTGATCCAATTTGCATTACAGTATCCCTCAATGACCGCAGGATATTTACTGTAGTGCAAAGCAAAGTCCTGGGTATGTACTAAATACCCCAAAACTCGTTTCATGGCCATCCAATGAGATTGACCTGGATTGCTCGTATATCGACTCAATTTACTTATAGCACAAGCTATATCTGGTCGTGTACAATTCATGATGTACATTAAGCAACCCAACACACGAGCATAATCCAATTGTGATATGCTTTGGCCTTTGTTCTTTGCTAATGCAAGATTCACGTCAATTGGAGTCTTTACAACTTTAAAACCCAAGTGCTTGAATTTTTCAAGTACCGTCTTAATATAATGAGATTATGACAATGCCAGACCCTGAGAAGTCTTATGGATCTTAATTCCCAGAATTAAATCAGCAACTCCCAAGTCTTTCATATCAAACTTTCCAGTTAGCATGCGCTTAGTCGCATTTATATTGGCAATGTCATTACTCATTATCAGCATATCATCCACATATAAGCAAACAATGACTATGTGATTTGCAACATTTTTAATGTACACACATTTATCACATTTATTTATTTTAAAACCATTTTACAACGTTGTTTGGTCAAATTTCGCATGCCATTATTTGGGTGCTTGTTTTAGTCCGTAAAGGGACTTAACAAGTCTACATAACTTCTTTTCTTTACCTGGAACCACAAACCCTTCAAGTTGTTCCATGTAAATTTTTTCCTCGAACTCTCCATTTAAGAAGGCTGTCTTAACATCCATTTGATGAATTTCAAGACCATAAACTGCAGCTAACGCTACTAACGTTCGTATGGACGTAATTCTTGTAACTGGAGAGTGTGTATCGAAATAGTCAATACCTTCTCGTTGTCTATTCCCTTTGACCACAAGTCTTGACTTAAATTTGTCAATAGTGCCATCATCTTTTATTTTCCTCTTTAAGATCCATTTAGAACCCAACGGTTTATTTTCAGGAGGAAGATCAACCAATTCCCATGTATGGTTGTTCAGTATGGATTCTATTTCACTATTGACTACCTCTTTCCAAAACAATGATTTCGAAGAAGACATAGCTTCTTTAAATGTTTAGGCTTATTTTCCAATAAGAAAGTCACAAAATCTGGTCCAAATGAAGTAGACGTTCTTTGACGTTTACTACGTCTTGGATCCTCATGGTTAAGTGTACTTTCTTTTGTTTCTTCTCGAGGTCGGTTAGATCCTTCACCAATCGACTCACATTCCTTTTTATACGGATATATATTTTTAAAGAACTCAGCATTATCTGATTCTATAACCGTATTATTATGAATGTCGGGATTTTCTGATTTATGAACAAGAAATCGTTATGCTTTACTATTAGTCGCATATCCTATGAAAACACAATCAACGGTTTTCGGTCCTGTCTTTATCCTTTTGGGTTTAGGAACTTGCACTTTTGCCAAACACCCCCACACTTTAAAATAATTCAAGTTGGGCTTCCTTCCTTTCCATTTTTCATATGGAATGGATTGTGTTTTGCTATGGGGTACTCGATTTAGTATTCGGCTAGCCGTAAGAACGGCTTCCCCCCACAAGTTCTGTGGCAAACTAGAACTTATCAATAAAGCGTTCATCATCTCCTTTAATGAACGATTCTTTCTTTCTGCAATCCCATTGGATTGGGGCGTGTAAGGGGCCGTTGTTTGATGAATAATTTCATATTTTAAACATATTTTTCAAAAGGAGATTCATATTCATCACCCCTATCACTTCTTATCATTTTGATTTTCTTGTTAAGTTGCGTTTCAACTTCATTTTTGTATTACTTGAATGCGTCTATTGCTTCATCTTTACTATTAAGTAAGTGAACATAGCAATATCTAGTACAATCGTCAATAAAAGTTATGAAATACTTCTTTCCACCGCGAGATGGTATTGACTTCATATCACAAATATCTGTGTGAATTAAGTCTAAAGGATTTGAATTCCTTTCAACTGACTTATAAGGATGTTTAACATACTTAGATTCCACACATACTTGACATTTTAATTTGTCACATCCAAACTTAGGCAATACTTCCAAATTAACCATTTTCCATAAGGTTTTATAATTGACATGACCCAAACATATATGCCATAATTCATTTGACTCAAGTAAGTAAGACGAAGCTGAAATTTTATTATTATTTTCAACAACCATTACATTCAGCTTGAAAAGGCCCTCAGTGAGGTAACCTTTTCCTACAAACATTTCGTTCTTACTTATTACAACCTTATCGGAAACAAAAGCACATTTAAAACCATTCTTAACAAGAAGTTCAGCAGAGACTAAATTTTTCCTAATCTCGGGAACATGAAGGACGTTGTTCAAAGTCACCACTTTGCCGGAAGTCATTTTGAGAAATATCTTCCTACATCCTTCAATCTTCGCCTTTGCAGCATTTCCCATAGAAAGCGTCTCATCGGGTCCAACAGGAGCATAAGTAGCAAAAGCTTCTCTAACAGCACAAACATGGCGAGTGGCTCCAGAATCAATCCACCACTCTTTAGGATTGCCCACCAAGTTGCATTCAGAAAGCATGGCACATAAGTCATCAATATCATCATGCTTTTCAACCATGTTTGCTTGACCCTTCTTCTTGTCTTTCTTCGGAGCACGACACTCCGTAGATTTGTGTCCGATTTTTCCACAGTTGTAGCAGTTTCCACTGAACCGCTTCTTGCTTGGGTTGTATTTCGGTCCAGAAGCCTTCTTCCTCTTTTTGCTCTCTTCAACAATATTTGCTCCCATTATTGTTGAGTTTCCACGGCCTCTCTTTTCCGCAGCTTTGTTGTCCTCTTCGATTCTCAACCGAACAATGAGATCTTCAAGGGACATCTCCTTGCTTTGTGTTTCAAGTAGTTTTTGAAGTCCTTCCACAAAGGAGGCAACTTCTCAATCATCGCTGCTACTTGGAATGCTTCATTGATGACAAGACCTTCAATAAAATTTCTGTTAGTAAAAATACTAAGATTACTACTTTCAACATCAATATTAATTTGATTTATACCTTCAGCAAGGAGATCGTGAATAATCACTTGCAATTCCTGGACTTGGGTAATAACAGACTTGCTATCTACCATTTTGTAGTCCAAAAACTTTGCAGCAGCAAACTTCTTCAACCCGGCATCTTCGGTTTTGTATTTCTTTTCAAGCGCAGTCCACAGTTCCTTTGACGTTTCCACGCCACTGTAGACGTGATACAAAGCATCCTCCAGCCCGCTTAGAATATAATTCTTGCACAAAATATCTGAATGCTTCCACGCCTCAATCACGAGAAAGCTTTCAGTTTCTGGAGTTTCATCGGACAACACAGGAACATCTTCCTTGATGAATTTCTGGAGACTTAGAGTAGTCAAATAGAAGAACATCTTTTGCTGCCAGCGCTTGAAATCAATCCCGAAAAATTTTTCGGGTTTCTCCGCCGGTGCCAATGTTGCCGGTGTCGTTCGGCTTGTTGAGGCATTGGCAGTCACCATTGGAATAGCTTGGTTCACATTATCATTAGTCATTTCTGTAAAAGAATGACACAAACGTTAAAATCACGTAGATTTTAATAGAGTACAAAACCACACAGGTTTTACTCTCCAGAAACAGTGAGTACAAATACAGAAAATATATTAAATTCCTTAAGCTTGTTAGTAATCTGTATTTGTAAAATAATTCTGGAAAAAATAAAGCAGAATAATATATAAACAGAAAACATAAAGAGGTAGAAATCAATTCGAGCCCGCTGAATTCACAGTGTTTCCTTAAGGAATTTAATCCCCTCCTAGTACCCAAGGTTATGGATTATTTCCTCCCAGGATAGAACGAATTACACACTGGTGTAGTGGTACTTCAAACCCAGTGTTCCAGCGAACACAAAGTTCGGTAGCAACTCACACTTACTATTGCTTTGTTTGATGTTAAAAGTACAGAAGAAGGAGGAGAAACTCAGAAAATCGTATGGAAATTCTGAGCAGAATAGTCTTGTATTTATAGCCAAAGTTGGGCTGAAATCTGAAGAGGTGCAACTCTTCAGAATGTCTGTTTATGCAAAACGGCCACAACATAAATGCCATAACATAAATGGGTATTTACTCAACAATAAAGAGGGAAAATAAAGAGGGAATATTGAAAGGTAGTTAATTTTCTGTTACAAAAACAGAAAACTGAAATTTGGAGACCAAATCCGAATCCGAAGCCGAGCCGAGCCGAGCGAGCGACGACGACGGTGCGAGGCTTGCCTTCTTCTCAACTCTTTATGAGCTAGAAGAAGAGCAATTGCTTATATACCCATCAAAAACCTTTTCCTCTTCCAATATGGAACAATGTCCTTTTGCCAAGGAGGGAAACTTAAAATTTCACTCAAAAATTTCATTTCTCTCCATTTTCCATTCACCCTCTTTTAAGTATTTAATATAATTAAATACATAAAACCCAACAGTATTTTGGTAGGACGCTGTTTTTACGGCTTGAAGTAGTGACCTTCTGGTCACATGGCAGTAACTTTACGAGTTACTCCAAGGCTCTCCTTCTAAATTCTCAAAAAATAAAAATACAAAAAGCTAGATTGACTAAAACCTCCCCTTATTCTCTTGCTTGATCAATAACGAGCAACTTTCTCAACTTGCGTAGTATTTTCTATTATTATTTACAGATGTTTTATTTCTGTTTATCTTAGGGAATTGTAAGCTCGGCACTAGCACTCTATTTGATTACATGGTGTATTAAAAGAAAAGGACCTCTATATGTCTCTATATTCCTCCCATTACTATTAGTCTTTTCTGCCTTTCTCAGTTGGACATTTCTTGGCGAGAAGTTGTACGTTGGAACGTAAGTTGAAAATTCAATTGAAAAGAGCAAATTACCCGTTATTTTTTTCATTACTAGTATGTTACGTTGAATTTAAAACACTTATTAGTCTTCTAATTTTCCTTTTTTACCAGAGTTGTGGGGTCAATTGTGGCTATTATCGGACTCTATAGTGTTTTATGGGGAAAGAAAAAAGAAATGAAGGGTAATACAGTGCATGTTGAGGAGGAGATGAAGGAAGATGTGTGTAAAGAGGATAATAAATTGACTAAGATTGATGACTTGGAAGTTTCAGATCTCATTTAAAATCACAGTTTTCCCTATGACCGAAGTCAGAGGCGGAGCCCGAATTTGAAGTTACTGGAGCCTTTTTATGTTACTACCAAGACTGACTCTATATTTATAGTGTCGTATTCTTAGATATATGTTGTTGCACGTATCTCCATTTGCGCACATGTTTAATTACCGTGCTATTGCTACTGTCTGTTTATATCAGAGTTGGAAAATGCTACTGTCTAATTGCTACTATCTAATTACAGTATCGTATTCTGAGATATGTATCTAATTGATGACTTGGAAAATTCAAATGTCAATTAAAATCAGAGTTTCCACTATGCCCAAAGCCGTATATGATAAATGATATATACTCTACGTCACGACCCAATTTCACTCCAGGTCGTGATGGCACTCAACACCTTTGTCAGGCAAGCCGCGAAAATATTAATAAGTTCTAGTTTTACTTTTTCAAAACAGTTAACACAAACTCTAAATTTGAATTTAAAACAAGCGATAATTAGCATCTACTATAATAGTTATACAATCCCAAAAGAATAGTCTACTAATGTGTGTGTCAAGACCTACTGTCACAAGTATATGGGCATCCAATAGAATACACAAAAGAATAAATCTATCCTACTGTCTGAACTAGAATAGACAGCCAAAAAGTACAAAAAGACTCCATCACGCTGCTGGACGACATAGGAAAGGAGCAGCTCACCGTGGAATCTCGGACTACGATCAAGTGTGCGCACCAGACTGGTAACCAGATGTACTTGTCTCAGATCCTGTACAATTAAGTACAGAAGCTTAATATGAGTACATAAACAATATGTACCCAGTAAGTATCCCATCTAATCTCGAAGAAGTAGAGGCGAGAGGCCGACTTGACACTTACTAGGGTCAATTAATATAAGAAAGTGTTATACTACGCATGGATGTCACAATTAAATAGCAATTTATAGCATGGAATGATAAGTCATTCCCTAGATGATATCATAGTTAGTCATTTACATTTCAGGGCATTTAGCAAGACAAGTCAGGAATATGAATTCACATAGATAGCATGCGCACATTATGCCGAGGTCGTACGGTTCGGTCCAACATAAAAAGAAATGTGCACTGCCAGAGGGTCGAATGATGGGAACCATAGATGCATCTATTCTACCGAGGCGATCGGCCCGATCCACAATTATCAATCATCAAGAGAGCAAATAAGGCACAATCATAGTCAAATAAATTCATACAAGTTATCAAGTGAGCGCATGGGTTCTTATACATTTATTTTCAACTTCTAACAAGTCCTAAGTGATCTCATTAACATAAAAGGATATAGACAGTTTCCAAACATAGCATGATACGGGTCCTAAACTACCCGGACAATTAACATAATAGTAGCTACGCACGGACTCTCGTCACCTCGTGCGTACGTAGCCCCCACAATTAGCAACACATGATTAATTAACTCACCTATGGGGAAAATTCCCTCCTACAAGGATAGAAAGGAGACTCACCTCGCTCCAAAGCGTACTCCAAATATCAAGAACGTGCTCAAACCCTCAATTTGGAGCCGAACGATCCGAACCTAATTAAACGAGGTAGGAACTAGTCAATACAAGCTCAAGATTTCGCATTTTAATTACTAAAGTAATTTCCCAACCTTAAACACAAGTTTCCTAAAATCCAACCCCGGGCCCACATGCCCGGATTCCGATATTTTTCGAAGATACTTGTTCTCTATAACCTAAGGATCAATAATATATGATTTCTACTTCATTCCATAACAAATTTCGTGGTAAAATCTAATTTTTATCAAAACCATAGGTTTTGCTCTAATCCCTTGATTTCCCCTAATCTTCGTGTGTTAATCTACCCGAGACTCAAGTATTAAACTCAAAATAAGTAGGATGAACTTACCTCAAGATGCTAGGTGAAATCTCTCTCTTTGGAAGCTCCCAAATCGCCCAAACGATGGTGGAAATGTGTCAAAAATGGCACATTCCCGAATTAAATGAAGCCACTGCCTTCAGCGATTTTTGCACCTGCGGTTAGGGGACCGCATCTACGGTCTCGCTTCTGCGAGAGGAGGGCCGCATCTGCGGAGTTGGCCAGGCGGGCTGGGACCGCTTCTGCGGTCTTTGGGCCGCTCCTGCGCAGCCGCTTCTGCGCCGGAGGAGCTGCATCTGCGGTTCCTAGGCTCCTCGCCCTTGGCGGCTTCTGCGATAGAAGGACCGCACCTGCGGTTTCGCACCTGCGGCTGACCAACCGCAGGTGCGGTTATGACAACAACCTGGAGCTTCAGCTCCTTCCAAAATTTCCTAACTCAACTTGAGCCTCGTCCGCTTGTCGCTCGTGGCCCTCGGGCCCCGTCCGAACATACCGACAAGTTTAAAATCATAAAACAGACTCGCTCGAACCCTCGGAATGCGACGAAACATACTTATACTACTCGGATTGACACCAAATTTTGCGTGCAAGTCTTAAATGGCAATACGGAACTATTCCCAGTCTCGGAACTCTGTTCGGACCTCGATAACACAAAAACCCGCTCCAAACCAAATATTTAAGAACTTCAAAATCCGTGAGGAATCAACTTTCGCTATTAGGCACCAAAACGCGCTCGGGTCATCCAAAACCCGATCCGGACATACGCCCAAGTCCGAAATCATCATACGAACCTGTTGGAATCCTCAAATCCAGATTTCGAGGTCGTTTGCTCAAAACGTTGACCGAAGTCAAACCTGGCCTTTAAGGCCAATCTTAAGGAACCAAGTGTTCCGATTTCAACCCAAACTCTTCCAACTCCCGAACCAACCATCCCCGCAAGTCATAAATCAGTAAAAGCAAGTATGAGAAATCTTATTTAGGGGAACGGGGTTCTAAAAAGACAAACGACCAGTCGGGTCGTTACATTCTCCACCTCTTAAACAAACGTTCGTCCTCGAACGGGTTTAGATTCATACCTAAAGTGCCGAATAAGCGTGGATATTTTCTCCGCATGTCCTCCTCGGACTCCCAGGTCACCTCCTCGACTGGTTGGCCCCTCCACTTGACCTTTACTGCAGAAACCCTCTTGGATCTCAACTAGCGCTCTTGCCTATCAATAATGGCAACTGGCTCCTCCTCGTAGCTCAATCTCTCGTCTAGCTGAATAATGCTGAAGTCTAACACATGAGACCAGTCGGCGTGATACCTCCGAAGCATAGACACATGGAAAACTGGATGGACTCCCGATAAGCTGGGAGGTAAAGCAAGCTCATATGCCACCTCACCAACTCGCTTCAACACCTCAAATGGGCCAATAAACCTTGGGCTCAACTTGCCCTTCTTCCCGAATCTCATGACACCCTTCATCGGCGAGATTTTTAAGAGGACCTTCTCGCCGACCATGAATGATAGATCACGCGCCTTCTGATCCGCGTAACTCTTCTTTCTGGACTGTGCTGTGCGAAGTCTTTCCTGAATCAACTTCACCTTCTCCAAGGCATCTTTTACCAGATCTGTACCATACAACTTAGCCTCTCCTGGATCAAACCACCCGATAGGAGAACGACATCGCCGACCGTATAAAGCCTCAAATGGAGCCATCTCAATGCTGGACTAATAACTATTGTTGTAAGAAAACTCGGCCGAAGGCAGGAGCTGATCCCACTGTCCTCCAAAGTCAATCACACATGCCCTAAGCATGTCCTCCAGAATCTGAACTGTCTGCTCCGACTGTCCGGCGGTCTGAGGATGAAATGTTGTACTGAGCTCCGCGTGGGTCCCCAGCTCACTCTGAACGGCTCTCCAGAAATGGAAAGTGAACTGATGGCCTTTATCTGATACGATGGAAACAGGCACACCGTGCAACCGGACTATCTCCCGAATGTAAATCTAAGCCAACCTCTCTGAAGTGTAAGTAGTCACAATCGGAATAAAGTGTGCCGACTTGGTCAACCTATCAACAATGACCCACACTGCATCAAACTTCCGCAAGGTCCGGGGCAATCCCACTACGAAGTCCATAGTGATGCGCTCCCACTTCCACTCAGGAATAGGCATCTGCTGAAGTAGGCCACCTGGCCTCTGGTGTTCATACTTAACCTGCTGGCAATTCAAACACTTAGCCACATACTCAACTATGTCTTTTTTCATCCGCCGCCACCAATAATGCTATCTCAGGTCATGATACATCTTCGTAACACTTGGGTGAATAGAATACCGCGAACTATGTGCCTCCGCTAGAATCCTCTCCCTCAAGCCATCAACATTAGGAACACATAGGCGACCCTGGAGTCGCAAGACACCATCCTCGCCAATAGAAACCTCCTTGGCACTACCATGTAGCACCGTCTCTCTGAGAACTGCCAAATGCGAATCATCGAACTGCCGGGCCTTGATCTCCCCCAATAATGAAGACTGAGCAACAACACACGAAAGGACTCGGCTGGGCTTTGAAATATCCAACCTCAAAAGTCTATTAGCCAAGGACTGAATGTCCAAGGCTAGTGGCCTCTCCTCTGCTGGAATGCATGCCAAGCTACCCATACTCTCTGCTTTCCTGCTTAAGGCATCCGCGACCACATTTGCCTTGCCCGGATGATAAAGAATGGTGATGTCATAGTCCTTCAGTAGCTCAAGCCATCTACGCTGCCTCAAGTTGAGATCCCTCTACTTGAACAAGTGTTGTAAGCTGCGATGATCAGTGTAAACCTCACATGATGCCCCATACAGATAATGCCTCTATATCTTAAGAGCATGAACAATCGCCGCCAACTCTAGATCGTGCACAGGATAATTCTTCTCATGAATCTTCAGCTGACGGGAAGCATATGCAATAACTCGCCCCTCCTGCATCAATACACAACCCAAGCCAACGCGTGAAGCGTCGCAATATACCGTGTACATCCCTGAACCGGAAGGCAACACAAGAACTGGTGCTGTAGTAGGACGTGGCAACTCTGAACTACCTCAATCTTCTTGGAATCCACCTTAATACCCTCTCTAGACACAATATGCCCCAAGAATGCCACTGACTCCAGCCAAAACTCACACTTGGAGAACTTAGCATATAGCTTCTGCTCTCTCAAGGTCTGAAGCACTACTCTCAAATGCTGCTCGTGCTCCCCAGGCTACGTGAGTATATCAAGATGTCGTCAATGAAGACGGTGACAAACGAATCAATATAAGGCCTGAACACCCTGTTCATCAAGTCCATAAA